CACCACTTGGCCCTTCCTAATAGCCACCAAGAAAAAAATGTTTAAGTGAATTCATGACTGCATGCCAGCTAAACATCATTAATAACCTGTCCTCCCCGCTCCATGTATCTTGCACATGCCTTTTTCTACAGCACTCAAGATATTTGTATGCTAAGCATGGCTTAGGCTCTTCTTTCCTACCAGCACAATGACAAACCCCCTCCAACAGCAGGAACTTGGTGTGTGCCTGCAATTGCATCAGACAAGTCTTTCAACCCACCCCCTGGCAAGGTGGCAAAAGCAGGAGCCCCAGCGGACAGAGTAGTAGGAAAACCAGGAGGCAAAGTGGAGGAGAAAACCATTAGGAGCACAGCACTTCAACCTCCTACACTGCCTGACACCTCTCTGAGCAAATTTGGGCTGAGAGACTGTAATCCACAGGGAAAACAAGGGAAGTTGAGACTGGGGAGGGGGGAGGATACATGTTTTTACACGTCTGTGAAGCCTCATACTGCTAATAGCGTGGTTTTCCTACATGCTAACTATACAGATGGTGTAAAGCCTTGCAGGATAACACATTGGTTGAAGATGGGCCTGAATTTGCAAATAAGAAGTTTTTTGGGGGGTTGTAAGGAGAAAGAAAATTTGTTATTAACAAAATTTAGCCACATGAAAGATATTTATCAGGTAATGTGGATAAAGTAGATCATTAACCTCTGCTGGATTATGGGCTGTTTTATTTGATTGGTGCAAAATTGTATGCATGAGGCATTTACTTAGGACATACATAGCTATGCCCTGCTGCATGGCATAGTGTGCACTGATTTTGATAACTAGCAGCTGGCATTTTAAAAGCCTGGTCATTCTTCACATGGAGGATGGAGAAAATCTGTGTGTCTGAGCATAAGAGAAGAACCGCAACAATGGGAAAAAATAACTTCTTGGGGGCCAAAGACACTCTTTTCTTTCAGGTAATATTTGTGTATTGGCTTAAATAAAAAAGTTAACCATCACACTAATTCATGTGGATCCAGAATTAATATGGGGCCCATTTGTATAATTTCCTCAGCCCTGTCTCACTGAGGTACATTGATAGAAAGAGCAAATGGTTTGTTCAAAATGAAAATCAACACTGTATTTTTAAATTCCAGTTGTGATAGTCATTAAAAATTAACACCTGTTGTACTGGAGAGAAAATACAACTGTCTACTACCAGATACACAGTTTGGACAAACTTCCTGGCTGAGACAGTCCTTGGCATAGTACTTCTTCTGCAAATCACCAAACATGACTGGTAGCAAAGTGATATGACTTTGGCTTGAGGTCAAAATTTTACATTAACTTCAATGAACAAAAGAGGTATTTTGAGCTTCTATTATTGTACTCACTGAGATAACTGCATTTCATTCAAATGTTCTGATTTTCATCAGCAGATCTCAAAGCACTTTAAAATGGTCTCATATATATTGGGATATGAGGTGCAAATGCAGAGATGTATTCAAACTCTTCCACCAGACCACTAGTCAAAGCAGGAATAGAAATAGAAACCCAGGCCTCCAATCTTAAGGCTTTTCTATCCTTTCCATTTGTAAGAATGTTGTAATTTTTATTTAATAACAGTGTTCAGGAAGAAGTTCATACAAGGAAAATACTATGATTAGTGGTCTAGTTTTTATCTACAGAAGATACTGGATAATGAATATAGAAATGAGTCGTGGGGCTTGCTACTTCTTTTAACCTCCTAAATAGCATTTTTTAAAAATATTATCCATTCCTTCATTTCACAGGCAAAGGACTTAAAACTTTTATACTCAAAATCCCTTGTCTCCAAATTCTGTCTCTTTGTTAATACCAGTCCAGCCTGAACAGATACTGGTTCTTTTGGTATGGTTAGGAAATTCCTATAATCCTTATGTGCAGTACAGCAATTAAATAATCTCTTTCTTTTCCTATTGTGTCCAAGCCCTTAAATCTCTGTTACAGAATATTGATTGACACTCCACTTGCTGATAACACGTCAATAGTAATGCTACACCCTGCAGCGGGACTCTCATCACAGCACTGGCTTCTTTTTTTGTATTTTTTTTTCTATGTGTCTGTGTGTTGTTGTTGCTGCTGTTGTTTGTTGGGGTTTGTTGTCATTTTTTGGATTGTTTTGTTTGAAGCTGATGGAATTGTTTCTGGAAGTGGTATATGGAATAGGCTGCATGTGCTTGGTGTAGGAAAGGCCAGAAAGCTTGGATTGGGAGCAATAAAGCAAGAAAGGGGAATGAGCCTCTCAATAGAGGCTGTGGGCACAACTAAAATCCTCACTGATAAAAAGAACATAGTTAGATATTCCTTAGCAGTAGAGAAATCTCCCCAATGCATTGGAAGTCTCTGCCCTCTACTGGCATTCCTGAAGATCAGCCTGGCTCAGCCGTGGGAGTCCGTGATCATACCCCCGAGAGTCCTCGCAGACCACGTTGAGACTGGCCGTATTTATAGAGCAAATCCTTCAGAAGGTGGTGTTTCAGGAAGTGCAAGAATGACAGTGTCTGACAAGGGATCTAAATGTCAAGTGACATTTGCTACTGACTCCTGCAATGCTTTTCAGATGTCTGCCTACTTCTCACCTTGTTCAACACTGCGAGGGTTAGTCTGAAGCATCTCCACAGTCCCCATCTGTTTTCTTCCAGTGAGCCAATACAAGGAAGAAGAAAGATAATAAATGTTATTTTTTGTTGTGGTGTTGGTTTTCATTCCACTACATTAAAAAAAAAAATCATGCTTGTTTAGCATAACTAATTATTTCAACAAAAGTTTTCAAAGTGCAATTTTGGGTTAGTGTAGAACTACAACTGCTGAATGACTCAGTTACCATCGTATGTGGAAACCTTTCAATCTCTTTTCTTTGGATGCAGGGCATGATTCTGTATTTTGTGACAATTGTTATTAAATAATTGGTAGAAAACTAATTTTACCATGAAAATATAACTTTGAAAGACAAATTAAACCTGTTGGTAAAATATGTGACTTTCACTTCCCAGTGAACTCCAAAAAGTTTTCAGACTCAGTCTTGCAATGAACCAAAGATTCTGGACAGCAACAGGACCCTGCATGGGTCAGGCTCCACAGAACATCCTCTTTCCAGACTGCAGCTCAGGTTCTCACCCACTTAACACCTGGAATGTCAAAACCAGCTTCTTGTCTTTGGATTTGTAATGATAATATTGATATCCTAATGTAAAAATCTCTTTCACACTTATTTGTGTTTTATTAAAATATTTCTCTAAATCTGTAGGAAAAAAGTATTTGTACAGAATAAAAAAAATGTTCATGCCCTGATATTCTGACAAAGCCATGTTTTTGTCTCTGCAAATTTGTATGTGATGCCATTTGCATGTGTTTTAATTTTCCCCAGACCTCACCAACTTCATTCTTTCAAAAATAGTAGTATGCATCTTTGAGAGGAGATTGTATAGAAAAGTGCCTTACTAAACTAGTATAAAATTTGTAGAGTTCTAAATAAAAAATGAGATAAATCCAGGTGTTTAATATATATATAAGAAATTAATAAATATTGCATTCCTTAAATTAAAGGAAGATAAGCTTCTAACATCTGCAGTATTACATTGTTGTTAATTGTGCCATATAAATAACAAAATATGAACAATTCAGGGATTTTCATCAACACTGGAGTAGAAACTCGTCAGGTACTCTGTTTCTGTAAGAAGCAGTTAAGTTATCCCTGCCTGACCAGGGGGGTGGACTAGATAATCTTCAGAGGTCCTTTCCAGCCCAAACTATGCTGTAATTCTGTGAAAATCTTCACAACAGGCCTGCAGTCTCCAGTTGTGTCTCTGTGTGTGTTCAGCATGGATTAATTCCTCGCAGTTCCCACAGCCCACACCTCTCCTCCTCATTGCAGCACCACCATATCTCTGGGCCTGCTGAAGGTGCCAGGCAATCCTGATGTTTGCAGTGTTGGGGCAGCTTCTTCTCCTAGACAATTAACCAAAATAATATTTGTAGAAATACAGGATGAAACTGGTCACATAAAGCCTCTTTTCCATCAAACTCCTCAGATTAAATCTCTCACTCTTATCTGCAAGCTTGATATACACTTGCCTCATTGTCATACACTCGTGTTCATCCTCACTCTCAAGCTTCAGTAATGTTGGTTTTGTACCTTTCTGCTCATACCTGCAACTGATGAAAGTTAATCCAGTCAAGTCTTTCATTCACAATTATGTTTTCACACTATTCACTGCTTCAGCTAGCTTGGCAAAGGGAAGCCTTCAAATCATGTTAGCTTGTAGTATGTAGCTATCCCCTTTTCCAGGATAATCAAGCAACACCTCAGTGTTTCATTCCTTACCAGCGCCTTGCAGTTTCTGTCTGTACTCTCAGCCAATAAACTGCTGGTTCAATAGCATGGATGAGAGTTTTACATTTAAAATCAAAAGCATATTTACAAATTGACAGTCCTGGACTGGTTTGATAGGACAGAAAAATCTCCCTCTCCACCTCTACATCCAGCAAAACAAAATAAGCAAAGTGACAGTCATACCAAACAGGCAATCATGCCATGTTAAAATTGACACAGGTACATAAACCTTCCCAGTGGCAAAAGGTTTCCTGACTCATGGCAGTAAATCCTTCCCCAACACAACCCTGCAGTTGAGAAACAAAAAAGTGTAAAGAAAGAACATACACACAATTTAGTATATTCAATTGTTTTCAAGATGTTCCAAAAAAATCTGACAGCACTGGTTCCATGTAAGTCTAGGCTTAGAGCAGGCAATGCTTTCACTCTGTGTCTGAACTGTATTTCCATGTAACGTAGCTGAATTTAAGAAAACATTTATGCATGGCTAGTAGATATTTGGCATCATTACCACAGAAATATATTTTATGCACCATGATCAGAATAAAATAAGTAAAAATTTAAGTCCTTTGTCATAATTGAACTCTACGTTCAATTAAACTGATTAAAATGTTATCTAGATATTGGGATTACAGTGACAGAGACGGCCCAGTATATAAAACAATATACATTTATTTAGCACAAAAAGTTTCATATTCAAATAGAAGTGCATGCATGCTTTTTTTCTACAACGTTACGGCACTTTGGTTTCTAAAAAAGTGAAGAACCATCACGACTAACAGAAAGACATACTAATCATTTGACAGAATGACTGTTTTATCCTACAACTGTAGGCCTGAGAGCAGCTTATGAACTGTAAGGCAAACTAGGAACTCCTTCTCAAGTGACTAATCTCTATGCAGTTCCATTAACTCAAGTGGAACATTCACAAGAAAAATGTTTCACAACTAGGACAGGATATATGACTCCAATGTTTCCTATGGTTTACAGCCAACATAATACACAGCAGCGGCATTATATTGTCAGACAGAAAAAGACAGAGTACTAAAAGATTCACAGTAAGTTACCAGAAACACTTACTGACAGAGAAAAAAAATCCAACCATGTATGTGATCACATGACATCATTAAGCATTATTCCCATTTCACAGAAAACAGGTAAGTTGACATATAATGCTCAGAATTACAACATCTACAGACTTTAAAGCCTGCAACTTTCATTTAGAGACAAGTACTTGATATTATTTGGTAAACAAAAGCTGATAGCTCACAACTGACAGCACTGAAATATTATGTGAAATCTGGTTCCATTAATGGCATAACTATAACAATCACTGGATACAGAAGACCATCCAATTATACTGATAGACAGATTTTCCACAGCTTCTCCTTCACTGAAGTTCCATCACCTTAAGTGACTGACATCAAAGATGTGCTGCTGAAACTAGTTCCGTCTTCCCACCTGTAGTTATCAACTGGATTAGACTCCCAGAGTTTGGTCGATTCTTTCCTGTTATCCAGTCATAAAAGGTTCTGTTTTAAAACAAATGGATAAAGCAAGTTGAGGAGGATAAAAAAATCCCTACTACTATCAAGTATAGTGACAGGAAGCATAAAATAAAATAAAAGCCTATTTACTTTTCCTTCTTTTCCTACTGCTCTCTAGTGATTTCTATGCATTCTGTAAACCAGTGATGCGATCACTGGATTCAGACCCTCAAAGCTGAGCAGAGGTGCAGGGAAAACCCTAGGGCTTTATAGCACACACAGGGGATTTTCAGACTATCTCAGAGGAAAAGACCAGGAGTATAAAATGTCAGAGTGGTGAGGTTTTTTCCAAGATAAAAAAAAAACTGAAAGTGGAAGATGCACCGCTTTAGTTGACTTTATAACATATATATTAGAAACACAGCTTTGTGGCTAGGATAGAGTTGCTAAACCCATTACTCTGCCAACAGGCCATTATAACACTTCGATATTTAACTATGAAAGTGGTCACAGCAGAAGCACAAAAAGCCTTAAGACATCCAAAATAGTGCTGAGTAAGATGGATTCATTTTAGGTAGAACACAGAACACTTCTTATCAAAATGCAATACAGAAAGTGCAGTATATTCTAAAGGTCCATCAACCCTTGCAATAATGCAGACATAGCAACTGCCATGTTGGAACATTCCACTATCTGACAACAGCTTCCAGGGCACAAAATTCAAATGCCATGACGGAAAGGATTTCCTGCATCCTACCCAGGATGCAGATGTTGCCAACACTTTAACAACACTGGATGTTTTCTGATGCACAGACAATGAGATTTTCAGTTTTCAAAGCTGGGGTTAAAGTTTAGGGAATTAGAAACAAAACAAATCAATCAACCTAATTCTCCTACAAGGTTAAAATACTTAAAAGTTAAACTTAAAAAAATTAATTTGCAGAACTACAACATCTGGTTAAGCAGTCTCTGAGAGACTCTGCTCCAGTTTCTAAAGCACAATAAATTAAAGATCTTTTTATGAACCTTTTTAGGCTAACTAAATTCAATTGATGGGCCCTTTTAAAGAGCCACATCAGACAGCTGCATAGGCTGCAACTAAACAGTTGCAACCAAAACCATTTCTGACTCTGGCATCTACCTTAAAAAAGTTCACATAAAACAGGAAATCAAATGTCAGAACTAAACTACTCTCTGAACAATTAGCAATAGGTAAATCCAATTTCAGCATCAGTTTTAAAAGACTTTAAAAATGTGTAAGAGTAAATCCCTTTGTAAAAATTGAACATATATCCAACTTTGTTTTTCCTCAAAGGGGCAAGACAGTTGTACCCTTATTTTCTTCCTTTTGACAGTTTACCCTCAGTGGAATGTGTGCTACTCCCCATCACAGGGCAGAAGGCAGTACTCATGCTGCACCTTCTCTAAGAATGAATGAGAACAGTAAAGCAGATAATTGCAGCCTGCCATTAGATAAGCTACAGTTGAAGTTTCAGCATTTTGCAACATCATTCAAGACAAGCCTTTGTAGATGATGAAAAAAGATATCTTTATTGAATTTTTCTAAACAAGAGCAGGAATTTTGCCAGTTGAGAGAATTGAACTAACACACTGTAAACCAGGCAGTAAAGAGTGTTTAAAAGAAAAAGAATCCCACCCAAGTTTACATGCCTATTTGCAGTTTATCTTTAAGACAGGTGTCTCCTGCACCTGCTGTCTGCAATTTAATTTGTTTACAGGCTTTATGAGATTCTCTGGCTTCCAACTCCTTAAGGCTATCTCCCTTGCTGAAATAACTCGTGTAGAGAAGCTGAATTTGATGGAGTTGGGCTAATTTTCTCCAGTTCAGAAGCCTGTGCAATAAAACCCAATGTGATTTAGAAACATACACAATGAGGAGACAATGGAGGAAAAAACCCCACTCAAATCCAAGGCAGCTATTTAAAAAGAACATGCACTAAGGTGCAGCCTCAAGAGGTTCAGTGAGGAATTGCTCATGGATACTCACTCTGCAATGAATTCTAAGGGTGTCCAGGAGCCGAAATCTGCGTCAGGCATTGATTTCCTGTTTGCCGGTGTATCTAAGGTAACTCTGTGATTAAAAAAGATAAGACAAACCTTTTCTTTACACAATCATTTTCCTGATGAGCACCACCTGCTTCAAATCATTGCTGTAACATATGCTTGACTTTTACACCACATGGTATGGATTTCTCTTGCATCCTCCCAGCGTGTTACCAGCATACAGTCATCAGTTTCAACGTTTATCCAAGGCTCCAACCTATAATCTCTCACCTTTCCAGCTCACAGAGGAGTTGACCATGAGGGCAATCACTTAGTCCGCAGCTCCCTTCCCACCTCTCTCGTGCAGACAGGGAATGGCATTAATATGCTTGTTCACATGCACTACACAGCATATGTGCACTACATCCATGTTTTCAGACAGCCTCATGCCAGCTGCAAACGCAGCGATTAAGTGCACAAACATCGGAAGTTTTGACTTTGATTATATATATTTACACTATGCACAATGATATTAAGGGGTGAACTTTTCACAACTCCCTCACTGAGATGCTGTTGACAATCCAAGATATATTTACTCTGGAAAAATTCACTCAAGGGCAGAATTTTGCACGAGAACTACACAAGTGCAGCATGTGCACAAATCCAGTGATCTTGGAGTCTGCATGCCAGTGGAAGGTGCTGTCAATTATCCAAACACATTTAATGCCTTTACTCTCTGACCTAAAGACACGTGCACTAAGAGTGTGCATGTGTGTGAGGAAAACAAAAGCAGGGAGAATTCAGGTAATGTTTGAAGTTCCCATATAGGACTCTTTAGTCTTTATTTTTGGGTCCTGATTTAGAAACAGACCTAGCAAGAAAAATACTTCTAATTTTTGCAGCAGAATTGATAAAATTAGACATAGTGAAGACTTACTAAGCCATCCACTTCTTACTAGCTTTCCTCATCAAAAAGAAAACTGTGACAGGCAAATACAAGCTAAACTTTTTCTTTTCACAGATCCTCAAAGTGACCTAATTTTACTAATCACGCATAGATATGCAGCACCTTATGAAGAAGCATCTTTAACCAAGTGAAAATGTGCCAAGTAATCCTTTGCTTTACTGCTATCACACAGCTAAGTCTAAAACTGTGCTGAATAGCTCGTATCATTTTTAGAGTTCTATTTATACTGAAAAAAAGAGAAATCACACTTTAATGCATGGCTACAGTCAAACTGGTTGAAAATGAATTAAATTTTAATCCCAACATCCACTACAGTTTTGCAAAGGAAAGGAAAGGAAGGTAACCATGTTTAGGGTTTCTTGGATATCATTTTGTTCACACTTTCAAGATTACCCCCTTTCTCTGTGAAACTGTAAGGAGGTCTGAGAAGCTGTTTGTGTACTGTGAACAGGACACTACAAGCATATCTATGTGGCTCTAGGTTACAGCAGTAATTAAATAAAACAACACAGGCAGAGACAACTAAGCAACTACTTACGGTAAAATGGCAACAGCAGCAGAACCAGATGGCAAGCCACTACTGGCACCAGCTAAACTCTGACAAAGCTGATGCACTGCTCCTTTGGCCATGCCATAGGCAATCATCCCTAACAATTTAAAACAGGCAAATTAGAGCACAATCAAAACAGCTCTCAATATCATCAGAAACATGATAGAAACTCAAGACTGTTTAGTGAATATTAAGGCCACTTACCACAGCCAGAACAGAATCAGACTTTCGAAACATATTAAAACATATATATTAAAAGCAAAAAAATGGAAGAAAAAAACCCAAAAGCATTCATTAGACATCCAGGAACTCAGTTTACTCAGCACTATAGAAATAAGCAGCTTACTGAGTTAAGCACATTTAGTTATGCACCAAAACATGCTTTGAAGGATGTGACCTACAGGGCTGAGCTTACAAATGTAACAGTAAGTGCGAAGATGCTCATAGACTTTATTAAGGTGATCATCCATTAATTTTTATCATATGACTAAAGTATTTGCAGGTTTGGACCCAAATATATACAGTTCACTTCTCTCCTGAACTGTAATTCACTTGGTCAGAATCCCAGGTCTGACAGGGCCTTCAGGGAAAGCCACGAATAAAAACCCAAAACAATCCTCATGGTAGAAAAATTACTAAATAACCTGCAGGGAAAGTAAACTTCTTCCTAAACACTGTTGTTTTCTAGGCAGATGGTATTTAGCAGTTGCAAGAGCAACAGCAATGAGAGTATAAGGCACACAGGTCAGGTATTTTCTATCTTTCTTTCTACCAATCTATATAGCCCCTTTCCAGTGTTCCTGTAGACGCATTTTGCATTGTAGAAATATTTCTGTTATATTCACTTAGACAAATTGTATAGGACCTGTTTCTGCTAGGAGGAATCACGGACAGCACTAGCTAACTTATTTTATTGTCATGATAAAAATATTTGCAACTCTATCATATTCTCATCTTGTCTAAACCAAGCACTCTAAGTCTTCTTAAATCTTTTCATGCTTAATACATTTCTTAGCCATCACTATCACACAGCTGCTGTAACTATTAATGCGATTTTCAGCGTTCTTCAGCTTGCATTATCTGAGACAACATTTTCTCATAGGAAAAGAAAGGTAACACTAACAGCAAACAAGAAAAACATTGTTTCTTCCAGAACAGCTCGTAGTAACAAGCCTAGCAAGGCATATTTGCAGAAATTGAGTAACAACTCTTTCCCAATTCTTCCTGAAGTTAATAAGTTGCATGTGTTTGCCCTAAGCACTGCTGTGATTTTTGGAAAAATCCAGACTAGCTGAAACCAGCTTGTTCAAAACGGGAAAGCAAATCTCTTTGATTCCTGTGTTGTGGTCCCTACCTCCCAAAACCACACAAACAAAAACCATGAAAGCTTGCCAGAATTAACATTTTTTCATTTTTATGTGGTCAGTCAGCAGTACATTGGAAATTATGCCTTTTATCTTTGGACTATAACAGATGCAGCTGTAAACACAGAAGATAAACCATTAACTAGAAAATACAGCATATTTTTCCTGAAAAGTTTTATATTCATAAATTCAGTTTTCCTGAACAGTTTTATATTCATATATTGCATATGTTTTAAAATCTTAGTATTTGTGTCTCATAAAAATATTGTTGAAGTGACACTAATAAAAGATTGGGAAATAGGAGTATTTATCTCAAACTTTCCTCTTGCTGCCTGTGGGCTTGTGTGTTAGTGCCTTTTTTTTTTCTGATTTTAAATTGCTCCCAGATTTCTTCCTCCATGCAGATCAACACAGTTAAGGAGTGAGATTAAAAATCCAATAAAGTTCATAGTAAATAGCTAGCAGATGGCAAAGCCAACAGTCAACAAGCTTATCTATGTCTGAAGCAAAGGTAGACTGGAATCAGAACATGAACAGGACAAGCACAGTAATCAGAATCAGTTGAGTCATCACCAACAGAAAAATTGGTCAAATAAGGACTCTGTCTTTCAGAACACAAATAGGAAAATTAACTTAATCTAAAGACTTACAGATTGCTGTGTGCTTCTAGTCTTCATTTCCAGACTTTTTTTCCTATATCATATATTAGCCAAGTACATTTCACCAAATCATGTCAAATATTATTTAAATACTGATTTTATGTGTTTGCACTCCAGCTTTGAGAAATTCAGTATTGCTAACTATAAAATTACACTTTCCCTACATATTTCAGCAGCAATTTTCCATTTGTACTAGAAGTCAAGCAACTGGGGAGAGAAACCGCTGCTTCACAAACAAGAATGCTCAGAAGAACAGGTATCTCTAACTGCTGCTGTCCCTGCAGCCATGGTGCAGGGATATCATGCATTGCATTTTACCTGGGGTTCCAGATAAAGCAGCTTGAGCTCCTGTGAGAGTCAAGAGACCACCTTCCTTCAGATGTTTTGTTGCTAGGTGGCTGGAAATAGTCGATGTCCAAACACTCTGCTTCCACATCAGATCACAGTTTTTGTATAAAGCTGATTAGAAAGAGAATTAGTGAGATTAGCTAAAAGGTGGAAGACCTCTAATTCCAGTTTTCTTAGCGTCCCACAGAGTGCAAAAGCACTATGACAACATGCTTTCTACCATTTTCTACTTTCACATTGTAAAATATTCATTTATGTCTTTTGTATCTTCTTTTGCTTTGAGCCTGTAAGGTCTGAACCGGAAGGGAGAAGAGAAGGACACATTTTACCAGATTTACTCCAGACAGAAAACAAGGTTATTTTTCTTCCTGTATCTCTACAGTAGTGGGTAAAGTATAAAATTTCACTCTGAACATTACATGTTTAAAAGCCTTTTTTAATCTGAAGGGCTTTGTCTGTAGCATGATTTTGGGTCACTAGGCAGTGCCTTCCAATATTGTATTGCACAGCAACAGCTCAGAGAACTGCAGGAGGCAACTGAACTTCTATTCATAAAGGAATTAATCAGGAAACATCGATGTTTCTACTCAGCACTGTCTTTCACAATTTGCCTGACACAGGTAACCTTGGCAAAGTCAGCTTAACAGTGCTGAAACTCCTCCATTTTAATAAAAATTGGTGTGTCAACAAACACCACTAAGGAAATGAAGTGCTGTGCAAATTTAACAGGCAAAGAAAATTCAGAGAAGCACTAAGAAGCACTGTGACTAAGCTATTTTGTACTTTTATGCTCTTGTCCTCTTCTGGACTTGGAAAGAAAGATAATCTCAAATACCTTTATTACCACGATTTTTAAGGATTCCTTTCAGATATCATTCATGTTTTCATCAGCACACATCTACCAAAATCTTACATTTGGCTTTGGCGCTGCCTCCAGCCCATCCTCCTGCTACACACAAGATCGCATCCACCTTTTCTTCACCAAGAAGTTTTCCAATCTCTGCTGTCACCTTCAATACACAGAACAAAAACATACTGAAAACACTGAATCAATAAGATAAAGGAGTATATATCACAAATGCCTTAAAGTTACTTTTTCTCTTTCTAACATAAGACCTCAAAACTGGTAATGAATTTGTTGGCCATGAACTTTCTCTGCCTAAGTGGACAGCAAACAATTCATCTCTCAATAAAAGAACAAAAGTCTACTGGTTTTCAAAAAAGTGCATAGAAAATTGTGTTGCAAATATTCTACATTACTCTTTAAAAGCCTTAAGAGTTGTATAGCTATAATGAAAACATATTGTCTAGAGATTCAGTTTATCAGTAAGAGAAATAGGTTCAAAAGTTAAAATTCAAAAAATAGATCCTATATGTTGAGAAAAAAGCAAAAGAGTTTTTAGGCTAGCTCAGAGTCTCCCATATTTACCTTTGTGCATTCCCTAGGAATCCCTTGGTGCTTTGAGCACATCATCTACCTATACACAGTGCATTTATAAGATAGGATATTTAAAAGAAGCATTGCATTTTAGGATGTCCTTATCCGTCTTCATTACAGTCACCTGGTTCAGTCTGAAACTTTTAAAGTCACAAAGACAAAAACAAACCAAACAGCCTTATGTGCTGAACCTCCAGTCTCCAGGATCTTTCTGCATATACGTGCAGTTAAGAAAAAGAAAAAGAAAAAGAAAAAGAAAAAGAAAAAGAAAAAGAAAAAGAAAAAGAAAAAGAAAAAGACAAGCAGAAGCATAAGGACCTTGGGGCTCGCGGTACGGCTGCAGAACCGCTACCGGCCGAGTTCCTGCTTCCTGCCTGAGGCCGGACGCACTCCCGCAGCCGCGGGAGAAGGGATGCACACACCTGAGGGGAGGCTGAGAGCATCGCTCGGGAGAAGGGATGCACACACTCGGGGGTAGGCTGAGTGCATCGCTCCACCTCCTCACTCGGCATTGCCAGCCCCGCGCCCGCCACCGACCCACCTGCTCGGCCTGCTCGGGGAAGGAGTCGGTGGCCGTCACCACCACGTTGGCGCTGGCATCCGCGTTCTCGGCCAGGTCGATGCTGGCGACCCACTGCGGCGGGAGAGGAAGGCGCGTTATCGGCCCCGCAGCGCCCGGCCCGGCGGGGCAGGGGCGCTCCCCCCGGCGGGGCTCCCCCGCCTCGCCACCCCCCGGCCCGGCGCTTACCCAGTTCTTGGCCTTGAAGTACCGCACGCACTGGGAGCCCAGCGCCCCTCTGCCCCCGTACACCAGCACCCTGCCCGCCCGCCATGCCGCTGTCACACCCGGCTCCACTGCTGCCGGCCCGGCCCGGCCCGGCCGGCCCGCCCGCGGAATGCGGCCGCCCCAAGGGGCGGGAGAGGGGGCGGCCAGCGCGGCCCCGGGGGTGGGGTGCGAAGGGGCGGGTCCGGCTCTGCCCGCCCGGCGGGCTGTGCCGAGCCGGGAGCAGAAGTCCAGGGACCTCGTCCAAGCCACAGCGACGGACTCCGTTACCCGCCCCCAGGGCTACTGCGGGGGTTAATTAATTAATTAGTGGTTGTGAAGGTCCCCACAGGGCTCGAGTAGCGGTAACCGTAGAAGTGCTGGCAATTATGGCCGGTTTCCTTTAGCGCTCCTTTATCGCACCTGTAGCTTGAGTTACGCCGCTGCAGCCCCCGAGCACCTGGGCTACGGCACGGCTGGCCGGGCCTCCCCGGCTGCTGGGGGCTCTGCGCGCCCCGCTGTCACTCAGAGCACTCCATACACATCACTTCTGTCCCTCAGCTAACAGGCTTTAGCGATGGAAGGCACCGCTCCGAGCGCAGGGACGGCCGCGGGAGCTGTGACAGCTGTGACATTTAGAGGCTGGGTGAGAGCAAGGGCCGGGAGAACGTAGCTGGCTGAGGTGCCAGCCGAATCCTCCGGCCAAATTATCTGGTTTTAATGCTTTGCACCTTGCACACAGCTGTTTACTCGCTTTTCTAAACAATCTAAAAAACTGGATTCTTTTAGTTTTCTTTACATGAGGTTACAGTAAAGAACTTGATGTCATTTGAACATGACAATTAAGCCTCTGATGAAACATTAGCCAGGCGATAGAGATAGGATTACTTGCTGCAGAAAGAAGCATCACTGCACTACAGCATAATGAAGCTGTTACTTGCAGCCATTTCAGGATGTTGTCGCAGCAAAACGTATTTTAGACTTTGATTTTTAACAGTACAGATTAATTGCTGGAGCTTCAAAATACAAAGAGAAGTATTTTGAAATGCCTGCTATTCAACTGTGGATTTCGGAGCATGAGAAAAAATGGGAAATATGCCTGACTGCTGCAGAGAGGCCTTGGAGATGATCCCTTGAAAGCACCAGGATGCCTGGCTGCTTTAAAAAGACGTTATTTGCCTTGGCTTCTCTAATAAGTTTTGTGTCTTTTATCTTAATTGTTGTTGCAATGGGGACCCCAAAGTGGATGACAGGAAAGATTCTTTGCAAAACAGGAGCTGATTTGGTCAATGCCACAGATCCAGAGCTGGTCAAGTTCATTGGAGAAATTTACTATGGACTCTTTCGGGGCGGCAAAATACGCCAGTGTGGGTTGGGCGGGAGGCGTTCCAAATTCACAAGTAAGTACAATTTTGGTTGAATTTTTTGTTTAATGTCTAGTTCAAATATAGCATTCTATTCTTTTTGCTTACAGACCTTGTAGAATGCTAATTGTTATTATTAAATAAATTTGTGGCTGACTTGTGGTCATTATGGTTCGGTGTCTGAGTGTGAATATAAAATCCCTATCATTTCAAGCACACTTTTTGCTCCCAGTTATGTTCTATAATCCTGGAATCAAGATGGGGAAAAAAATCCCTAAGGCTAAATGGAGAGTTTCCTTTTAGCCTCATGAAGGGAGTCAAAGGCATCTGGAGATGACCCTGTAAATCACACTTTCCCCTTGATTGACTCTTTCCATGCCAAGTGTTTCTCTGCCATCTGTCTGTCCTTACCTTCTCTGTTGAACTTCTCTGAGGTTTTTTCCCTTTAGGAAACAGAGATTTATTTACTTGGCCACATCACTGTATTTCTCTAGCTGTTCTAATGCAAATGTCTGCCATAGCAGATACTGCTAAGTTTATTAACATGTTGAAGAAATTTTTACCTTCTTTTCTGCTAACTTTGGAGAGAAAAAAAATGCTGAACTCTTAAAAAATGTAGAAACTCTTATAAATTTATTCCTTTTAACATAAAAGATTTTCTTGAGGTCTCAAAAGCACTCAGCTGTTCTCTGGATGATTTCCAAATTTCACTCACTCTGTGCCGTAGAGAAAATGATAATTTGCATTGAAGATTTTTAGTTCAGTGTGCAGATTGACTGCAACTTAAACCAATATGAGTTGAAGCTGCTGCAGTCTCACCCTCTCCCTAGCCCACAGCAGTGCTATCCTGCCCTATCCTTTGCAATGTCTCTGATAGTTATGGCGGTGTAGTTCAGAAGTTAAGATGGCCAAAAAAATTAACCTACCAAAAAATAGTTGTTTTCCTATAGGATTGCGGCTGACTACACAACTGCACAAGCACCTCTATAAAAACTTGAAGGCAGGTAGGACTGTGGGACTTCAGAAGGAATGGAGAAAAGAACCAGAGCAACCTCTGCTTAGATCAGCATGACCAGTTGTTAAGCTGGATAAATTTGGACTTGCTGCTTTTGCAATAACCAAGTTCTTGCTCAAGCTCTGACTGCAGCTGCAACTTCATGACATGGATATAATAGTCATGGTCATTCAGTCTCAGTTCTCTCATCCTATCCTGTCAAAGAGAATGAGGAAAAAAATCTCTGTACAACCTTCTGGACTCTTTAATAAACTTTCTGATTTTTTACTCTGTAACCTGAGAGGAAGGCCTAAGGTTCCACCATCACTCTGGACTATATTGATTCATATTTGGAGTACATGATCCTATACTCCTTAATAAAGCTGTCACTGAAGCTAGTAAGAATTTTCCCTGTTAGAACTCTAAAATTGGGTCATTAAGTGCAATGGGTACAAATATGCATTTAGGTCAACAAGCAGCTCAGAGATTTTTCCTTTTAAATATTCTAATAACTATCAGGTTTGATATTTTCACAGTACTGGTTTCAAACAACAGTACACAAAGCTGTTAAATACTTTTGCACAAGGGTGAGCAGAACTCACTCTGGGGGTTCTGAGTTTTCGCTTTGAATGTCCCCCTTAATTTACAAGCATTCTGAATTTACTGGGGAGCAAGAACTGTGAGACTTTTCTTGTGGAATGAGTTAACATAAATGGACATCACATAGAGCAAAACAAGGCTAGCACCTCAAACACTGCAGTACTGCAGTAGCTCTGACACTTTGGAATTTGCAATAATTTACTGTTACTAGTACAATGCCTTTCACTGTGTTAACTAGAGTAGGCTTATGGCTGGCACACTCTTTTTTAGCTGGGACAGTGACAGTATGACTCAATTGCCGTAATAGGTATCCAGTACTATTTTGTACTCCTCAAGGTGTATCATCTGGTCTCCAGCTACTACTTCTGAAGGTGTCCCATACATAATGCAGCATGTATGTTAGACCCACGTGGTTGTTATGATAGTCCTCAGGCATCTAAGTTGGCATAAAATGCTTATGTTTTGACAGCTGAATCAAGCTCTGAGAACGAGCTGGGGAAGCCAGGCATTTTGCCTATGCATGGCAAACACTGCTGAAATGGTAATATCCTTCCTGAGGATTCTTATTTCTGCATACTAAGCCAGACTCCCTGGTCAGGTCTTTGGGATTTGGCTGAGAGCCTCAGAAAAGAGACCAAATAATCCTTACAATTACTCAAAAATCTCTGCTGGTTTGTAGGAAGGCTTAATTCTATGTGCCTTGTTGTTACACTGCCAGTTATTTTCCAGTCAGATAGGAAGCTAGTTTTTGGCTTCCCGTGTCTCATATGTACTTCTGATTCTCATTTATTTCCCTCCCTTCTTCTTGTTGGAGTCTCTTCTGTAGCTCATATGTATACCAGGCCCACCTACAACCTCAGAATGAGCTACTGAAGAGGTAGAACTGTTGAATTTTTGTATGGAATATGTACAGTATGAATTTTTCTACATAATCTACTAGAATTCCGTCATGGCATGACCAGATTGTATGCCTGATGCTCACTGTTACATCTACCAATTATTACTGCTTACTTTTTATGTGGCTTGTTTAGACTTTTTTTTCAGTTATGAAGCACAGGAAGCAATCTGTTTATTGGTTTATAACACAATGTACCTTCCTTTTAGTAGCTTTTTAGTAATTAAGCAGTAAATTCTTCAAAACATGTATGAGTGTGCAGTGCTACACCACGTGAAGGTCTCTTCTTGATCACCTTGTATTTTAGGCTTCCTCTCGATCAGCCTCTCTCTTTCCTGTCAGTCAGCATGTCACCTACAATTCCCTACTCACATTTCTTCTGATTCTCTTACTAAAGGGCTGCAGGATAAACTAAATACTCAGGTGCACATTTCCCTGCTGCTGGCCAATCTGGCCCCCCAATTAAGTAATTGAGTCTGTGAAGACAAAACCAAGAAAGTTATCACTCTTTAGAGACAGATGAGTGACAGGCTGCTGAGGGAGAGCTCATGCCTACAGCAGAACATGTGAGCACTTCACTGAAAGCCCATCTGACTTCAGTACTTTACAAGCTTCCTACAGATGTAGCTAAAGCTCTGCCAGACACCCAGAAAGGCATAAAGGAGTCATAGACACTAGATGAGAAACCAAGAAGGGAATCGGAATCTTAAAGTGAAAACCTGTGGGATTAGAAGTGTGAAATTAGGGCAGATCTCACTTGAGCCGCAGTGAAGAAAGGGAGAGAGAGAAAGAACATGAGAAAATAAGCACAGAAAGAAGTCATACTATTTACGGCAGCAAGGGCCTGGACAAGGAAACTGGGACTGTCAGACTTCAAAGGGATAAGACTGAAAGCATGGGACAGGAATGGGAAGCTCAAAACCATGAGTTTGGTTTGAGGAACAGAGATGAAAAAGAGCAGACAATACAGTAGTGGTGATAAAGACATTAACACAGCTAGATAAATAAACAAGACTTAAGCCTGAATCCTTATTCACAGACCCTATGTAAAGGATTATACCTGTAGCAGGATATCCCTGGTTTGTCTGTTATACTGAAAAATAAAACATCATGAACTAAGATGTGTGTAACTAGCTGAATTGAACACTTCTGTAAAAAATATAAAGTAGTATAATTTGAGTTTGAAGCACCAGCACAGTGTGATGTTTACCGTCATCAAGAAAAACTACATACTTAATATGTGATTCTTTTTTCTTGACAGTTTTCCCACACATGGTGAAAAAGTTGAATACAGGCTTGCATGTGATGATCATAATGTTCCTCTGTGTGGCCATTTGCTTTTCTCTGGTCAGTTTTGGATTCTGCATTCTTAATGCAATAAAAGTTCCTTACCGGGCTATTAAAGGTCCAGCAGGAGTATGCCTTTGGAATTTCCTTGCAGGTAAAGTTATTTACCAGCACTTTTTACTAGTCACATTCATACAAAATGGTAAAAGTTCCTTCTCTTGCCTTATTAAATATCTTGTTGACTCAAATACTTGTAAATAAAATGAAGTTAACAGTGAATTCTCATCTATCTAAACAGAACTGCCAGGTGGCATCTTCGTTTATGGTGTCTAGTCAACATTTAACAGGAGCTATGAATGCCAGCCTTTAGGTTCCATGTCACTGATAAAAGGACTTTATTACAAACATTGGTGTCATGTTTGCCCATACAATAAGGTGTTTAAGCCATGCCTATGTCTATCCCTACTCTGTATATTGCTCACTGTGGTATTCAGTAAGTCTTTTGAAGCACAATCAAAATGTCTGTCTTGTTTTGATTATATAACAAGGGTGAATACTTCTTTTATTTTGTTGCAGGTGGATTTGTAGTACTTGCAGTCACCAGCTTTATGGCTGCTGTGAAACTTCATCACCTCACAGAAAGAATTGCCAATTTTCGGGAAAATGTTTTTCGATTTGTTATCTTAGAAGAACGCTTTGAAGACTGTTTTTGGATTTGTGTGGCAAGTGCCACAGCACACGCAGTGAATTTGCTGCTAATAGCCATCAGTGGGATTAATTTTCCTAAAATTAAGCCTAAAACAGAAGAAGTGAATGTTACAGCAGAAGATATCATGTACTAATAAATCTATACAAAACTACTTCAGTTAAGTGAACTGTTGTAAAAGAAACAGCTTCTTGGCTCTTCCACCTTTGATTTGGATGGATGGTTTAGTTATCAACTTAGTAAAGATGTCAGTCTACAATACCAGCAATTAACATGTCTGTGAAAAAAGAAAAACACAAATACTATAAATATTGTTATTCTCAAAACTGACTGCTATCTGCAGTAAATATATGCTGTTTCTCAGATTTTAGAAAATTCACACTTTTAAACCTTCAGAAAATTAAGGTAAAATATGATTTCATCAAAACCAAGTCTCTTCTTTGTTTAGAAGAAAATTTGTTATCACAAGTCTCTGAAAGGTTGTTTCAAAACAGAAAGAATAGACATTTGCCAATTCCTTTCACCTAATTATCTAGAAAATGCTGAGAAGGACATATAAAATATATTTTATGATGCTATACCATATTGAAAAAGAAAACATCATCTGTGAGGCTAAAGCTAAGAGGCAGGACAGGCAAAGTATGCATGAAATGTTTTTAAAACAGAAATTATCCAACCCCACAAGGCAAAGAAGTGAGAAATGTAAAGTTTATGGGATGATATTAGTCTACAAAAAAAAAATTTTATCTGCTAGATAAAGGTTCCAAGGCAGCTTTTGGAAGAAAAGTAAACAGGTTTTAAGTAATAGTGCTTTTAGATAACATAGAAAATAATGATCTGACAGATTAATTATCTTCAGAACCTTGTCAATTCTTAAGTTTGCCTGAAATCAGGTAAAAGTGATGTATGATGAAACAGTATTAAAATGAATAAAAATGGTTAAATAGATGGAAAAGTTACTTTCTTAGGAAGTACCATAATTTTGACAGGGATTCGACCAGTTCATGGGTTATGAGGAAAGAATATATTTGAGTAAAGAACACGCCCTTAAGCATGGTTACAGTGGCCTCTACCATCTTCGGTTTTGGCTCTTCAAGGCTAGCAGGAGTATGAGTGAAGCAGAAATTTGTGAGGGTGCCTCTGCAATAGTCCCTAATAACCTGTCTTCTTCAAGACAGCATTACCCATGAGACTTTTAGGAGCACTGATTTATTTTTTTTAAAGTCACATAAAATTTAAGAGATAGATGGAAAGTTATGATAAGTCTAGGGCACTGTTACAATTTTAGCATAAAGGAGGCTCAATAGAGCAGAAAAAGTAATTCCTAGTTTATAGCAACTACTTACTTCACTGCTCTAATTTTACTGGTGCTTTCACTCAGTCTATACCCTGGGCCACAACTCCAGGAAGATGGTACAATACCCAGTACATGGATAGGCAGCAGACAAACCCAGTCTACGAAGGTGCCTTAGATGGTAACAGCACAGTATTGCCCAGAAAACTGCCCACAGAGGCCTCTGGGGTACCACCACTTTCCTCTTCCAGAAAACTCCGAGTGGCTCTGAAACAGAAGAACTTAAGAGTGCAGCATAATTATGCAAGTAGAAAATGTAATACTTATATTTTGTAATTGTTCTATGAACATATATAATTTAGAAGTAATTGTTTTACACAAAGAATTATATTGTGAAATGTAACTTAATATTTACTAAATATAATTCTCTTCAGGAAGTGAAAAGAAAGCAGATCTTTAAATCCTCAAGTGATCGCTTCGGAAATGCTTTTCAGTAGTGTTAATATTGCATGTATTACAACATATTTTTCATCCTGATAATGAACTTCTTAATGCCCCCCAAACTCCCCCCCACACCCAACCTAGTTATTGAATAAGACCCATGGAACTACTTAGGTGAGGACAAGATTAAAGATTTGTTGGAGTGGATTCCTAGGTAGGTCATGGTAGCCCTGAAAGAACCCATAGAGTACACTGTGTACATGAAGTTAAAAAGGAATGGCTGGGCTGATCAGCTTTGTAATTTCTTGGTTTGAATGAATTCAGTGAGATATACTCCAAAAAGATTTCTCACAGCAGATATGAGGAAGTATGATTATGGGATACTGCAGCTGCACGAGCTGAATGACCGAATACCATTATCACCTAATGACTGTGTTGTAACTTATGAGAAGATAGTATTTTCACTTCAGAGTGAGCAGAAGTATTGCCATGCATTAATTAAACTGAATGTAAGAGATGTAGGGCCAAACTAACCTTTCAGCTTCACAGGTTGTCTCAGTTCAAGCTAAGACGCACTGAGAGGACAATGCATAGAATATTTGCTCTGGGAAATTTTGTCTGGGGAAAAGAGGTTAAATGCAATCATACATGTTTAAGATGTACAGTTACAAAGCACACCTTGAGGTAACAATAGGTAAGTCTACCACTTAGACCTTTTCAGCTCTCCCTTGTACAAAATGTTGTATTTACAAAAATGTTCAGCTTATATGTGTGATCTACTTTATTTACATACCTTTTAGTTACACTTCACATAGTGTATCTGATCATAGTCACGCTTGACATGTGGAAATTAATACTTTGGAGGCACTTCTTAATTTGGAAGAATTGAAATCCTGAATGAGAACATTTATGAGCAATACCTGCCCAGAATTTTGAAGAGATGATGGGTCCAATCCTATCTTTCCATAAAATTAAAGACGACTTTATTTACCCTGAAAATATCCACTTAATTTGTATGTGCAGAATAATATACAGAAGTGCTAAATATGTAATGAAACTATGGAGCCATCCTTCAACGGACTAAGAAACTGTTCATTGTATCCAAGAGCCTTGCCAAAATAAATGAAGTTAAAAACCAATTACCACTTCGCTTCTCTAAATGGTTTAATGTTAAAAAATGAAATTTTACAAGACAAATCAAATTGGATGCAATTTCCTCAATCATTGTTTCTGAGTGCCGCTGTCCTTAACAAAACATGTTATTTCTCTCTGTACCACTTCATGGAAAAAGCTATTAGGTGAGAAGTTCAATGGACTTCTAGAGAACAGGCCCAGCTCCTTCTTCATCATGTTCTGCTGGTCTAACAGCATAACTCCAGTTACAAATGTACGGAAAAGCAAACATTGTTATACATAGTGTAGCAAGGTGTATGATTCATTCTCACATATAAAAATGAATTATTTATTATCTATTACTATTATGTTTCACACTTTGGCAGCAGGGAAAGAAAGAAAGAAACAAAAAGAAATCTGGATCACCTAAAGTTAAAGTCCAGTGCATGTTCATTGCCTTTCAGACTGACAATACAATAATGATCAGCAAACTCCAAACAGTTCTTTTCCATACAGTGTTTTTACTAGAGAAGCATAAATCCACTTCTGACATTACAGTGATGACCGAGCATTCCAGTGTAATTTTTCCTGATAAAATATAACCATAGTCATTCTTACTGTTTGTTTTTTTATTTTATTTTCACTTACCACTCTTCTTTTTTTTCCCCTTGTAATTTCAATCTGGGATTGTACTGCTTTGTCTTAGAAAACAATGTGTATTTGCAATAAAGCTTTATTTTTTTCCTAAGTAATTTACATTTTAATCTTCAGTACACAAATTAAACGTGCAGTAAGCAGACTAGGGCTGATTTTTTTAACTCTGTGATAAACCCCAAAGAGAAGCGCGCATACCCATCTAGAGCATGCTACGAGAATCCTGATCACCTCCCGTACACAAGCAGGAAACCTCAGCTCCCCCCGCTCCGGGTACTAACTCGGGAAGCGCTCCCGCCTCCCGCTCTCAGTCCCGGCCCTTCCCAGCCGCGGGCACCGCCCCGCGCGGCGCCGGCTGATGAGGCGCTGGGCGCGCCGGGGCCGGGCGGTGCTGCTGCCTTCCTGCTTACCTCCTTTCCTTTCCCGTTCTGCTCCCTGCCATGCTGCTGCCCTGTGTGCGTAGGGTGGCTGCGCGCCGCCTCAGCCGGGACCTGCCCCTGGCCTGCAGCTGCCCGGCGCAGGGTCCCGCTCCGCGGGGCTACAGCCGAGGGGCCGGCGGGAAGGTGAGGGGCTGAGCCGGGGCAGGAGGCGGTGGTGGGAGCGGGTCCCTTCCTCCCGCTCGGTCCTGCGGCTCACGGCTGAGCGGGGTCGCTGTGCCCCCCGGAGCTGAGCCAGGAGGGGTGCGACTCCCTGTGCTCCTCCTTGGTGCCCCTGGATGGAGATCTGCTTTGGGGGGAGGGGGGCGGAGAAACCCTTTTGCACTTAAAATTACCGATTAGAAGAGGTTTTGTCTTTATTTATCTCTATGTGTTCGGAAAAATTATTATAACTTTAGTTATGTTGTATCTAGTTTCTTTTTTCACACTTGAAAGTAGTTGTAGCAGTTGATCCTGGTTTACCAGGTGTTGCTCTGTGCATCGTGTTAGATAAATAGATAACATGAGATAAATAAATGCAGAAGTAGCAATGGTTTGAACAGTGTGCTTGCTGCCTCTGATGGGTCTCCAAATTTTGTGTTGTTTACATTAATGTGTGTCCTTTTCCAGGGTCTTGTTCTGGGAGTCTACTCAAGTGAAAAGGATGATGGTGCTGCCCAATTCACTGCTGCAGGAGATGCTTTTGATAGACTCGTATCTGGAAAGCTGAGAGAACTTCTGTCCCTGTAAGTGTGTGATAAGCTTCTGAAATGAATTAAAGTACTTACAAACACCAATGGGAATGATGGGGTTTTTTTCGTTATTAGTGTTTGTGTCCGTGTAACTGTCAGGCTGATATTTGCTTCTACCAGGCCAAACAGTTTGGAGGGGAATTCCCATGATAAAACTAAACGCTGAGGAAACGTGCAAGATGTTTCAGGGGACCTGTCCTCTGTAGAGACCTGACTGTGAATGAGCACTGAGCCAAGCATCCCAGTACATTTGTGTGGCATACTGTGTAGTTGTGGAGTGAATGTAGTACCATAAGATTTATCACCAGTAAGGACTTTCGTATTGAAGGAATCTTTTTGTGTCCTAGATGTGGGCCACCTTTGAAGAAAGGCAAAACACGCGTATTTCATGGTTTGCATCAGGTATGAACTTAGCATTTTTGCGTGCTAGTTGATTAATGTGTGAAGTTTGCCCTTACATCTAATT